ATAGGTTAGAACAATACATAGATAAAACAAGATAAAAACAAACGACGTTTCGACACTTATTGTCATCGTCTTTTAAACTGTTTCGCTTTTGGGTTCATAGCCCTTCTCATTTTACTATTATTTAATTTATTTTTTAATTTTTGTTAAACATAATTTTGTAATTCTAAAACCTGTAAAATATGCAGCAAACTGAAATATTTGTATGTTCTATGTATTACATAGAAGATAGAAGTGTAAAATAATTACTGAATCATAACGGCCGAATGTCTAAGGGCTTTCAAGTCTTATTGATAAGCGCTATAAATAGCATGTATCCAATCGTACCGTGTTCAATCGTGTGCAAAGTAACGACAAAAGTAACTGTAAATTTCGTTACCGTTACCCAAAAAATGTAACTCGTTACCGTTACAGTTACCAAAAAAAGAAAGTAGGTAACGCAGTTACCAGTAAAGTTACCAAAAAAGTAACTTGTAACTGTAACTTCGTTACAAGTAACGAGTTACTTCCATTCCCTGGAAAAATTCTATTATACTTGACGAGAGAGAGATTAGAGTATTGAATTCTGTATCACAAAAGCTTTTTCCTTAAATTCTGTTTTATACACGTCATGTAATAATATACAAGATCTACTTTTTTTATAGATTCGTGGTGACTTAAGTACATTTTGTTGGAAAGAAAGTAATCTATCTGTCTCGTGTCGTCGTGAGAATTTAGTCCACATTGTCTACTCATCCCTGAATTTTAAAGATATAATGCTCGCCACAGGTAAACTAACAGTTCAAGAAACGATTTTAAATAGACGGCAATCTCAGGATATTCCTCTTGGTCTAGAATATGTGGGTTTCGATGCTAACGGACAGCGTATAATGGGAATACGTAATACTGAGTAAGTAATGCTACAAGGAGTTATTATGCTATGGTGTCATACAAATGATAGTAATTAAAAGTTACTCATTTTAGTTGCATAGCAAATGTCGTTGATAAAAGTGAAAGTCTTTGGTGGAAGATACCCGAAGCGTGGTCATTCGAAGAAGCGGCGACGGTCCCGTGCATTTATGCCACGGTTTATTTAGCCCTCTACATTCGCGGGAAAATGAAAAAGGACGATAAAATTCTTATACATTCTGGTACTGGCGGAATTGGACAAGCAGCTATTAATCTCGCTCTTAAAGAAGGATGCGAGGTGTTCACTACCGTGGGCACAAGTGACAAACGGAACCTCATTAAAAAAATGTTTCCGATCATTTCAGATGATCATATTGGAAATTCTCGAGATACAAGTTTTGAACAAATGATTATGCGTCAAACGAAAGGTCGCGGCGTCGATATTGTGTTAAATTCATTAGCGGAAGAAAAGTTAATAACCTCCGTTCGCTGTTTGGCGCAAAACGGTCGCTTTTTAGAAATTGGCAAATTCGATCTTGTGTTTAATAATCCTCTAAATATGTCCGAGTTTCGGAAAGGTATCAGTTTTCATGGGGTTTTAATGGAGAATGTGATCGCTGGTAACAAGTATGCGTTCCTATTATCTAAAATGATAGCCGATGGTTTAAAAGATGGAACGATCAAACCAATTCAAGCAAAAGTTTTTCCAAGAACTGATATTGAAGGAGCCTTTAGGTACATGGCCAGCGGGAAACATACAGGAAAGGTATGCTTTGATATAATTTTATTCATATAAAGCATATATATTTTCAATATGATTGTTTTTGTAGATAATTATAAATATTCGTGAGGAAGGTGAACCTTTAGATAAGCACATTCTCGCGTATCCTCGCTATTATTGTCTTAAAGATAGGAGTTATATTATACTAGGAGGTCTGGGCGGAATTGGTTTAGAATTAACCGATTGGCTCATACTACGTGGTGCCAGAAACGTCGTTCTGATCTCAAGAAATGGAATTAAAAATGGTTATCAACGCATGAAAATTCGAATATGGAAATCGTACGGCGTAAACGTTCTGATCATCAAAAATATCAATGTTGCTGATCTCAAAGGCTGCGGATATCTCTTACGAACTGCGGAAAAGGAAGCTCCAGTGGACGCCATATTTAATCTCGGTGTGGTATTGAAGGATGGAATTCTCAAAAACCAAACCGCAGAAACATTTGCAGAGTCCTTCCAATCGAAGGCTCGTGCAACGCAAATGCTAGACAAACTTTCCAGAAAAATCTGTCATAATCTGCGGCACTTTGTAGTGTTCTCATCCGTTTCCTGCGGCAAAGGAAACGTTGGACAGACAAATTATGGCATGGCCAACTCCATCATGGAAAGAATTTGTGAGAAGAGATCGGAGGAAGGATTACCAGGATTGGCGATTCAATGGGGAGCTGTGGGAGACGTGGGTCTCGTCGCTGACATGCAGGACGATAAAGGATTAATTATCGGTGGCACTCTACAGCAAAAGATATCCTGTTGTCTAGATGAACTTGAAAAGTTTTTACTTCAAAGTCGGCCGATTGTAAGCAGCATGGTTGTAGCTGAAAAAAAAATGGAAAATCACGGAAGTCTCGTAGAAACAATTGCTAATATTTTAAGTAGGTACTACTACCAGATGTACAAGTATGAAATGCGGATTCTTTTCCAAAAAAAAAAGAAAAAAACACGTTAATTTCGGAAGAATGATAAAATGTGGTTTATTCAAAGTATTCTCCATTGCTAGTTACACATTTTTCCCATCTTTCGGGTAATGTATGGATACCACGCTAGTAAAAATCTTCCCCTTTTGCCGCGAACCATTTGTCGAGCTATTTTTTCACATCTTCGTACGAACCAAAGCGCTGCTCAGCAAGTGTGTGACCCATCGGTGCAAACAAGTGGTAATTGGAAGGAGCGAAGTCTAGTAAGTCGCATGGACTATGCACTTCCCAGCTGAGTGTTTCCAACGCGTCGCGATCCGGTTTTGCCGTATGTGTAATGGAACATTGTCATGGAGAAAAGACTTGATGACACAACAAAATGGCATATGAGTCAAATCTTTATAAATAGATAATGAAGTTTATTGGCCCACAATAGTATTACAGCCATTTTACAATCATAGATTATTCGCCATACCTAGATGGCGCGAGACATGGATAATAAAACATGAACTATGAGCTATAAGTAGATAACATCGTTATAAAGAATATGAGTCTAACGCGCTCTAATACTTAAACATTATAGGAAATTGCGAACTTATAATTTTAATTAAATAGACGGATGTATAGGGTACAGCTTAAACATAGAATTAAACTCATCAATAAGATTATATGTCAATTTTACAATCATTAAAAAATTTAGTAAGAATCTCTATTTCAGGTTCTTTCATTTTTTTGAGGATTTCTCTAAAATCCACCGGTATTATCACCTTCAACTTATTAAATTTCTCTATCAAAATTCTTCTTTCTTTGGTAAATTTGTTACATGACCACATTATGTGATTCTCGTCTTCTATTTGCCCGCAAGAACATAGGTTGTTATCGCTAATCTTAAATCTAAATAAGCTGCTTTTTAAAGAATTATGACTGCAACGTCAAATCTTTATACTACACACTAGAGATCCTATAATAAGGGAGGGTTCACACCTTGACGGAAAAACGGAAAGCGGAAGAGCAGTTAACCGATCAAAACTCGTGCTGGTAGTAAATAGTACAAAACTAACAGAAAGTCGACTACCTGATTGGCTACTGCTTTTCCGCTTTCCGTTTTTCCGTCAAGGTGTGAACCCGCCCTAAGAGTTTGGCCAAAGCGGGCCCAACTTCTGATTGGTTCTCTACCTTGGTCCATTCGGCATTCTTCGGATAGCTTTGTACATTGTCGGAAAACGGGTTCGGAGAATAGAAAGAGACAGATAGCATAATACGAGAAAGAAAGCATATCTGTTATCTCCTTCTATCCGCCATCTTTGGTCCGCTTTGGTCAAACTCTTATTATAGGATCTCTACTACACACTGCATTGGTGCACCATCTGTTGGCTCAAATCCGCATTTCATACTTGTACACGTGGTATGGAGACTTATTCTTTCTTAAATACTTACCATATTTATTTGCTAATCAAATTTACAAAAAAAAGGCATTATATATACTACATAGAGTATCTCATAACACTGAATTATACTTCCGTGATCGAAGGGGTTGTAATTATGAACCAATTTTGACTCAGATTATTACCGAGTTATTAATGATTAAATTTGATCAGTTGAAAAAATTAGAATAAAATTTTTATCAGAAAAACGCATAAGTTCGAAAAATCCTATGCTACGCTCCTGCATACTCTGATTACGCGTTATCTGATTAATCTTAGCCAAAGTTAGCTAACTTTTATTCATAATTTTATCTTCTTTTATTCTCTGAAATATTAATTAAGAGTTATGGGACACTATCATAATAATTATTTGTTCTATATTGTAGACATAAGTGACATAAAAACTATAAGTTCACATTCATCTTTGGCCGAACTTGGAATGGACTCCGTGACGGTTGTAGAAATCAAGCATTCTCTGGAAAGAGAATTTGATTTATATTTCACGCTACAAGATATACGAAATCTCACTTTCGCAAAACTCGCTAAAATATCCATTGCAAATATTAGAGATGACGATGCGGATGATAAAAAAAAATTCGACATGGAAAAATCAGATATTATAAAATTTTTAGTTGGTGTTCTAAAAGAGGATAAAGATTATGTTCCTCCAACAAACTTTTCGGCCAATCGTCAAAGTACTATGACTGAGGTATTTCTTATACCGGGAATTGATGGATGTGGTACTGTATTTAAAACTATAGTACCATTAATTAAATTTCCAACGTCGTCATTGTATTATAACACGAACGATATTTATTGTACTACAAACACGATAACGGAGACTACTAATCGTCTGATAAACGTATGCAATAATCATATTAGTAATTTAATCGATCTTATGTCGATAAGAATTGTTTTCGTTCAAAAGATATAAAGGATCCCGCACAAAATCATAGGAATATGACCTTCGGTGAAATTGGCCGAAACTATAATATGTTCTTGATTCATTGATTAAAAGTGTGCATAGACATACAAAGCCTCAAAATGATTAATTTTTTGTTGTAGCCATTTAAAGTTTTATTTTATTAATGCCTGAAAATCAGGTTTCTGTAAGAAATCAAGAGTTTGTAAATAACAATATGCCAACTACTCTCTCCCCCCTCACTCCCAACCCTATCTACTCCACTTCCATTGCCACATATACATACGCCCGTGCGCGCACTTATGTTATATATTTATATTTTGCTAGACTTTTACGACTTTTCTCACGAGTGTCGTTCGAAATGCGTGAGATTTATCTTTTATATGCGAAGTACTTAATTATCACGACTTGAATATTTAATCCCGCGTGTGAAGCTTCATGTGCAAATATATCGGATACTCGCTCTGCACATGTACACACGTTGCACGTATTTTGTAGTAATACGCTACCCCAATAAACTACATATTAAATATCTCGAAAAAGTTTGTCGCATATAACAATGGATGCAGTTCATAGAGTGGACCAAGATTGCAATAATAATATAGAGGTTATAGTTACTAAAATAAAAGTTCAAATTCGTGAGAGGCCAGGGGATTTACGAAAATCAAGCATTTCAAAAGAATAAAACACCTGTCATATCCACGTCATTCATTCCAAGTAACTCTAAGAATGGGTGAAAAACTAATATCATAAATGTATCATTGATGCATATGTATATTGATGCAAACACACATGCGCTCGCGCCCGCGCGCACATACATGTAACTTCGATTTATGTGCACATTTTTCATATATAAATATGCGTGCGGGCAATGTATGTGAGAATGATGATGGGGGTGGAACGAAGGTAGGGTTGTGAGAGAGGGTGGTGTGAGTGATTTTTGCGTATTGTAATATAAAATCTCTCGATTTCTTATAGAAATCTGATTTTGAGGAATTATTAAGATAAAATTTTAAATGGCTACAACAAAAAAGCTATTCATTTTCAGACTTTGTGCCTATATGGACACTTTTGATCAATGAGTCAAGAATTATGACATATTAAAGTTTCAGCCAATTTCACCGAGGGTCAAAATCCTATGATTTTGTGCGGGATTCTTTCACTGAGTATATTTTTGACATTTTTACAGCTCATACTTCCAATGCTGACAGAAGGAAAAGATTGTGTAATGGTAGGATACTCCTTTGGATCTCTTATTGCAATTGAAGTAACAAGGAGATTGGAAGCTATGAATTTTAAATGCCGACTTGTTCTCATCGACGGTGGTCCTGAGCTAATGCGAACATTATTCAAAGCTTTTGAGTTTGATTTCGACAATGCAAATTTTCAGATTGATATCTTAACTAATATTATGGAAATGTATTCAGCGGGAAGTTCTAAAATGGTATATGCAATTTTTGTTTTGGACTCACATTGAAACCAATTTATACGATATATTAATATTATTTTTCGGTTTCTTTATGTGGATCAGTATCAATTTTTTTTTTATTACTTCGTTCCATTTTATAAACTTTCTTATAATCTTATATATAAAATAAAAAATTTTTATTTTCGTAGACTTTACTGGAATTAAAGAAATGTGAAAGCTGGGATGAAAGATTTAATATTATCGCTAAACATTTCTCAGCCGTATACAAATCTCTCTCGTTTTCAAATTTAAAGACTCTGTGTACCACAATTTACAAACATTTTTCCGCTCTCCGAGAATATGATCCTTCTATTTTACCGCCTATTAAGTCATCCATAATATTGCTAAAATGTACAAAAACGTTAAATATACCAACATATGAAGAGGATTATGGCATGCACAAAGTAATTCAAAAATTTTGTTTTAATTTGTACTTAATTAGATTTAACACAATTTGTTATTAACAATGTATGTAATTATTTAAGGTAACTCAAAATATAGTAAAAGTACATTATATTGAAGAAAATCATATGACAATCTTGAAGAATGAAAAAGTAGCAGCTGCCATTAACGGGGAACCACCATTTACAGTTTAATGGGTAAATATGACGAAAGCCGCGTATACACCTATCGAACGAACACAGGACAAACAACGAACGCGACTGAATAAAGGATCAGACAGTCCCGATGACCTTCACCTTGACATATATTGTGTAAATCATAACCCTGAGTGATATTTTCTATCAATAAGAAAAGTGAAATATTAACAGTAGTGTCAGGTATATAATATGGATATATATACATAGTATTATATATTATATATGTATATATGGGGCATTCCATGCCAAGTGGGCCACCCAATTTTTGGGCTTTCTCGTCGCAGCGCTCTTTTCGCTTGTCGTTAGTGGGCATGAAAGGCAATTTTGAAAATAAAGTGCAGACGTATTCTTATAGAAAATTGAACGCTCTTTCACGTAAGAATATTCTTTTTTTGATCAGACCGGTTTACGATGATGTTTTTCAGTTTTGAACTTTTCAAAATGGCGGCGCGCCTAAAAGGCTGCTCTCAATTTTCTTTTAATATAGCTCAAAATGTAGCTTCAGGTCTCTACTTTGTTACTCTAAAAGGACTTAATGGGACACGCATTCGTTTAGGAGTAAGAGCTAGGAAAATGAGGCAATGTCACTCCTTCCCCCTGCCGCACCACTCATTTTCCTCACTTTCCTAGCTCTTACTCCCAAACGAATGCGTGTCCCATTAAGTCCTTTTAGAGTAACAAAGTAGAGACCTGGAGCTACATTTTGAGCTACATTAAAAGAAAATTGAGAGCGGCCTTTTAGGCGCGCCGCTATTTTGAAAAGTTCAAAACTGAAAAACATCATCGTAAACCGGTCTGATCAAAAAAAGAATATTCTTACGTGAAAGAGCGTTCAATTTTCTATAAGAATACGTCTGCACTTTATTTTCAAAATTGCCTTTCATGCCCACTAACGACAAGCGAAAAGAGCGCTGCAACGAGAAAGCCCAAAAATTAACGGTTCTACAGTTCAGTAACCAGTTGGCCTACAGGTATATTATTTGGCATAGAGTCTTTATTCATCAAACTGTTCAAGTTCACGCAATATGAACGAAATCCATGGAACTTCGCAAAATGGGTGGCCCACTTGGCGTGGAATGCCCCATATACATATACATATATATTTATATACATATGCCTATAAATCTTTACGGTATATTTAATTTCTTAAAATACAAATATTACAAAAAATAGAGTATATTTTGTATGATACATCATTTTGTCCTTGTTGTTTACCGAACATTAAAGAAAAATAAAATGATACGTCATGCGTATAATGTAAAACGGAACGCAGTTTACATGTGAACTGTGAATACAATGTAAAAAAAAGCATCGTGATTACATGATTAAGAGAGCTAATCAGACCTATCCCTAAAACCTTTATATGGATAGAAATAAGGTAATGTTAAGAGTAACTAAATATAAAATTGTTACTATTGTCCCAAAAATGTAGCTGCATTACCATGAACGTTACTCCGAAGATAATGCAATGTCGTTACCTTTTCGTTATCGAAAAAAATAACTTGTAATGGTAACGATGTTACAAATAACGCGTTACTTGTCAACCCTGTAAAAAATCATGTTCTTCTTTTAAACGTGAATATTCATAGACTTATTATAAACATAATTTTATTCCATCTAAGAATTAAGATAACACAAAATATTATATACAATAATTTTATGAATTTTTAATTTATTCCTATTTGTGAATATGTGAAATTGAAGAATTTACCTATATTATTGAAACAGTAAATTTGCATTAAAAATATTTTGTCTTAGTTTTGAAAAATGTAAATATTTATTATAAATACAATTTACACTTACTGAAACAGTTTATCTTATTAAACTACATTTATAAATGTGTGTATGTTTATATATCAACATTTATAGTTGTGTATAATAATAAAAGATTACAAATTTACAAAATGAACAAAATAAATAAACAATATTTTAAAAGAGTACACTATTATAGCACTAATGCATTGTTTTATTATCCTCAATTTCGACTTTAGCAATCAAATCAAACAGGAAGTGATAACAGGAAATACTTATAAATGTAACATACCATGAATAATGCAATATATATTTTGCATTAGTTGTTTAATCACATTTAGCTCATCATATTTTCATCCATGTCATCCTCGCAAACTATTAACCTTGTTATAAAATTTTTTAAATATGACATTGTTAAACATGATTTATCACTTTCGGAATGAATAGGTTTCATTTCCAATCCAATATTGCTGAGAGTTCAAAACATTGATCAAAAGTATTCGAAAACGTCAATTTTCAAAATATCAACGAGTCGAAAATGTAAAACGTTTTATTTATTGATTCATATGGATCAGCCTTCGTCCACATAAAACATATCAAAAAAGTAATTCAACTCCCAATCTCTCCAATGCACTGATTTTCAAATATTCAAACACTAAATGATCTTTGACGGAAGATAGCACTGAATCCATGAGGGTCCTAAATTTCTGTTTATGGATAAATGGAGAGTAGAATTTCAAAATACGTTTTGTCCAAAATTTATAATTTTCAGAAAATGAGAAAGTTTTTTGGACCCCGCACAAAATAAAGGGAAACCGGTGTACAGTCAAATGGGCTGGGGATGGAGTATGTTGTAGTTCAAGACATCCCGATGAAAAGTTGCAATGGGCACAAGCTCCGAAAATGGCCAGTTTTTTAGATAAAATGAGTCAAAAGTTGAAAATGTCGATGCCCGCAGTTACTAGTATAAAATAGTGTAAGGAGTTATTTAACGATGTGATTCGAATGTATTTGTAATACATGCCTACACACACGGTACGTATATGTACCTATACAAACTACCGTCGGCATTAGCGTCACCCAATGTGCACCACGTGGAGGTTGCGCGATCGGATTTGCACATCATTTGGGCCCTGATAAGGGCCATTTTTTGTCATTGAAACATTCAAAATGGTTCAATAACTTCTCCTTCGATTTCTTCATCTTGATTATATCTATTAGCAGCGTCTTTTATGTGATTAAGTAATGTGACGCTGGGATATTTAGTATTAGGTTGATGTCGTGCGTATCCTAAAAACCAGAGAACACTTGCAACATGAGCACATGAACCCAGTGTTCGTGAACCTGATACACAAGTACAGTAATAACCCGTTATGGGTTCATTATTTTCATCTCCATGAGGTCTGTAAGCAATCCATAATTGATGCTTCGTTGCATTGCGGAATCGAGAGTACACCCGAACTCTAAGAAAGCCAGCTTCATTTCTGTGTTCATCAAGTTTAAATACTTCAGATTCATCGCGCACTAGTTTGTCTTGAATATAAGCAGGTGCTAAACGTATCTGATAAATACCGACAGTTAACTCTTTCAAGAAATCGATGTCAAGTCTTGGAAAATCAAGAATCTGATTTTCATTTAAACGATTCCACATGGCATTTCTTCTTGCCAGATGCTCTGTTTCAACTCTTAGTCTCAGTGTATTTTCAGATCTTGCCTTTTGAAGCATTTGTTCAGCAAGTTCCGCGGTAGCTCCATCCATTAGTATAACGTCTCGGTACCTATTGATTATTGCTCCAGCAATTAAATAAAATGCACGTAGATTAATTGCATGAACTACCGAAATAGTATTCTTGAAAAACTTGAATATTGATTTGATATGGCCATTACGTGCTTCTATTATCCATCTGGATTTTGTGACTAATCTCGAATCATTAGCCTCTGCAGTGTCAAGTTGTCTTTGCCCTTGCTGAAGAAATGCTGGCATTTTATAATCAATTCCGAGGGCTTGCAAAAGAGGTAATACATCTCTGTAGCCGCGATCGACGATCACTATCGCATCCTCTCCTAGCCATTCTCTGAGAGTACCTGCATCTGCTTGGAACTCGTTTCGTAGCATTGCAGCGTCGTTATTTTTAGAATCTGCAAAGTAAGGACCATGAATGTCTAAAATATAGCCATCTGGTGCAACTATCAACGCAGGTTTGACTAAATGACGTCCTTTGTGTTGGCTAAATGATTGTCTCAGGGCTCGAAAATTGCTAGACTTCTCAATATAAGAATATGTGCTATCTATACATACGATCACTGTAGGATTATATTAATATCTGGATTGTATAGGGTATTAGAAAATTCAGTTACATGATTATTAATATAATCTTGTCGTGTGATCGCAGTTAGTCCTATATTTTGAGGTACGAAACGTGACATTAATGATTTTCTTACTGTGGCGACGGCCAAGCTAACGGCTTACCTGCTTTGATAATTAAATAAGACTCTCAAGAAGTCATCACAAAGACCTTGACGAAGTTTACAAAGAAATGCCAATAAATCTTTTTCGTATACATATCAATTAAATTTATTGGCGATGACCGCCTCTCAAGCAACGCGCGCTACCATGTACACGATTGGCCCATACGGATAGGACCTTAAGTCCGACATGTTTACCCCCTCTGGGTATACCTTCTTCTTCTCTTTGTACCGCTCTTGTGTAACGGTCGCTTTTCATATTCACATTTGTGTTATTAACAATAAATATTATCGTTACCGTGAATTATCAGTTCGATTGTTAGTGACTTCTCCTTCCTTCTACACTGGCAAAGGTTCAACAAAATTAACACTATTTTTTTAGTGTTAATTTTCTAGTAAAGCACAGAGGAGTATGATTAATTTCCGTTTAATCTATACATATCTGCAAAACATTCTATACATATCTGTATTGTTTCTATGGTATTTTCTTATATACGTAAATATGCCTTTAAAAATAATCTAAACTTAAAATATTTTAATAAATATGTATCAAACTTAAACATAAAATTCACAATTACGCAAGTACAGCACGTAGTTCAAATGTTTGCTTTTTAAGAATGTACACATTTTGTATGCAATAAATATATGCAATTATATCACTTCTCAACTTTCAGTTTTATTTTCAACAAATAAATCAACTCATCATTTTTCTAACGACAAGTAAAATAGCTTATAAGTATGTAGATAAAAGAAAACCATACGGAACTTTAATATCGATTTGAAATTATGAACTATATATGAATTTAGCCTTTATTCCACTATTTTTACGCATTTCTAGTGCAAGTAGATAACTGATTAGATAACAGACAATTTATGTAATAAAGTGTTACATTAATAATATAAATATATATATTGAATGATGATGTTCGTAGACTCGTAAGATTTAAAATCA